TGCGGTTTGGAGATAGTTTAAGCCTGGCTGATGGGGAGTAGATCCCAAGTTTCCCAGTTGACGAATCTGGATCTCTGAAGAATTGACCTGCATTAATACTTCTGCTGTGCTCAGAAAACTGGCTGGGGAGCCCATGGGAAGCTGGGAAGCACGGCCTCAACATTAACATGATTATTTCAGATAGGAAGCAGGTGGGTACTTCAGTCAACTATCCTCCCCACAGGAGGTGCTCTGTTCTCCATAGAACAGATAGAGGTAGTGTAGTTGGTTAGAGCATGGTATTATAACACCAAGGTCAAGAGTTTGGATACCTGTACTGGGCAGCCATCAGAGAAAAAACAACAACAACAAACAAACAACAACAAAAAAACACCTCTGTTAATACCTCAGAAAGATCTAATGTCACACATAACATAATCACCATTCAATGATATTTCTAGAAAATGGCCTGTCAGCAGCCTTCACAGAAGCCCAGGGGAGAGAAGAGTTGATTTGAGCAAGTGAGAGTAAATGAGCAAGTCAGTGTGAGCAACAGGAGAAAGTTATCCCAAAGAGTCGTTCATTAGAGGCAAGTGACTAGGTTCAGCCCACATTCAAAGGGAGGAGAACTAGGCTTCAATTTTGAAGGGTGGAGTTTCAAAGAATTTGTGAACACATTTTAAAAAACACCACCATTGGCACTCTGAGTACAAACTGTTTACATTCCTACCACACACAAAATACTCTCAAGAAGCCCCCACAGTCTCATCCATTTATAGCACCAACTCTCAGTCCAGGATTTCCTTATCTAAATCATTTCCTTATCTAAATCCCCCACAGTCTCATCCATTTATAGCACCAACTCTCAGTCCAGGATTTCCTTATCTAAATCAAGTCCACTGTGGATGAGGATGGTTTTCTCTTGGCACTCTCACTAAACCAGCAGCTGGTGTGAGAGAGCCACCTAGGGAGCAGATCCTTTAGCCCCAGTCAGGCCTTCAGATGACTGCAATGTCAAGAAAAACCCAATCCAGAAGCACTCAGCCAAGCTGCTCCTGAATTTCTGACCCTGTGAGAGACGTTTACTACTGTAGTAAGACATTAAAATTTGGGGTAATTTGTAACAGAGCCACTGATATCTAGTATGGTAGGCTTTTAGTCATCCACTTAATTAATAAATTGGGTAAAAAATTCCATGCCATGGATGTTGCAGGCATGAAGAAGTTGGGATTCCCATTTTTTTCTTAATTTTCCATTCAATAATCAGAATTTCCATTGAAACAGGGCTGACATTGAATGCTTTCTAATTCATAACTGCATTATAAATACCTGTGTGACTAATATTCAATAATTTCTCACCAATGTGAATTGTCTGCTGTTGAAAAAGTTTGGCCATGCCTAAAGGCATTCTCGCATTCCTTATGTTCTTAGACTTTTATACTCATATGAATTCCCTGATGTGCTTTAAGGGCTGAACCATATCTGAAGGACTTCCCACACTGCTTACACACATAGGGTTTCTCACCAGTATGAATTCTCTCATGTTGAACAAGGTTTGAAGCACGACTAAAGGCTTTCCCACATTCCTTACATTCATAAGGTTTTCCACCAGTGTGAATTTTCTGATGTTGCGTAAGGTATCCATACATTTTAAAGGCCTTCCCACATTCTTTACATTCATAAGGTTTTTTATCAGCATGAATACTCTGATGTGCAGTAAGGTGTGAACTACGTCTGAAAGCCTTCCCACAATCCTTACATTCAAAAGGTTTCTCATCAGTATGAATACTTTGATGTAGAGTAAGATTCCTATAGAAAGTAAAAGTTTTACTACATACTTTACATTCATAGGGTTTCACACCAGTATGAATTTTCTGATGTTGATTGAGATATCCATGCAAGCTAAAAGTCTTTCCACATTCCTTACATTCAAAGGGTTTCTCACCAGTATGAGTTTTCTGATGTTGAACAAGGTTTGAGCCAGTACTATAGACCTTCCCACATTCCTGACATTCAAAAAGTTTCTTGCCAGTATGAATACTTTGGTGTCGAGTAAGATTTCTATACAAAGTAAAGGTTTTCTTACACTCCTTACATTCAAAGCATTTCACACCAATATGAATTTTCTGATGTTGATTAAGGTATCCATACAAGCTAAAGGCCTTTCCACATTCCTTACATTCATAGGGTTTTTCACCAGTATGAGTTTTCTGATGTTGAACAAGTTTTGAACCAGTAGTATAGGCCTTCCCACACTGCCTACATTCATAAAGTTTCTCACCAGTATGAATATTCTGATGTCGAGTAAGATTTCTATATAAAGTAAAGGTTTTTTTACACTCCTTACATTCATATGGTTTCCCACCTTTATGAATTCTCTGATGCAGAATAAGGTATGAGGCAGTGGTGTAGCCCTTCCCACATTCTTTGCATTCATATGGCTTTTTACCAGTATGAACACTTCGATGTACACTAAGTTGATGACCTCTTCTAAAGGACTTTCCACATTTCTCACACACGTATGGTTTCTCACCAGTATGAATTTGCCCATGTTCAACAAGATTTGAGCGCCTACTAAAAGCCTTCCCACATTCCTCACATATATAGGGTTTTTCACCAGTATGAGTTCTCTGATGAATTCTAAGGTGTCCACCTTGACTAAAGGCCTTCCCACATTCCAGACATTCATAAGGCTTCCCACCAGTGTGAATTCTCTCGTGTTGAACAATGTGCGAGGCATAAATAAAGGCCTTCCCACATTCCCTACATTCATAGGTTTTCTCACCAGTATGAAATCTCTGATGTACAGTAAGTTGATAGCCACTTTTAAAGGTCTTCCCACATTCTCTACATTCATAGGGTTTCTCACCAGTATGAAATCTTTGATGTAGAGTAAGTTGATAGCCACTACGAAAGTTCTTCTGACATTTCTTACACTCATAGAGTTTCTCTCTGTTACTTATGTTCTCACGTCGTGTAGAAGATGCGTTTTTTTCATATGTGGGCATTTCTACATAGCTGATTATCTCATA